ATAAATTAAATGTAAATATAATAGGTGTAACAGGACCTCGGAGTAGGGGTCAGGTGGCAGTATTGAATTACCATAGACAAGGTAAGCGTACTTATCATAATGGGTGGCAAAGGCAAAATAATACCTGCAATGGCATGACTTGAATGGACCTGTGGTACTGGCTAATTAATCATGGTGTTTCCAGGGACCACATACGAAAGAAGCACAACACTTGGTGGGCCTGTTTGGATTCTGGAGGCAGCAGATATGTTACTATGACCCATGTATCAAGGCAGCTACCTTTGAGTGGGGCCTGGAACAGGAAAGGGCCCTTCAACAGGTCCAGGCTGCTGTACAAGCTACTCTGCCCCTTGGGCCATATGATCCAGCAGACCTGGTGGTGCTTGAGGTATCAGTGGCAGATAAAGATGCTGTTTGGAGTCTCTGGCAGGCCCCCATAGGGGAATCACAATGGAGGCCATTGGGATTTTGGAGTAGGGCTCTGCCTTCATTTGTGGACAACTATTCTCCCTTTGAAAGACAGCTCTTAGCCTGCTATTGGGCCTTAGTGGAAACTGAACGTTTGACAATGGGCCACTAAGTCACCATGCGACCGGAGCTGCCCATCATCAGCTGGGTGTTATCTGACCCCCCCAAACCATAAAGTAGGTCATGCACAGAAACAATCCATTATCAAATGGAAGTGGTATATACGTGATCGGGCTCAAGCAGGCCCGGAGGGCACAAGCAAGTTACATGAAGAAGTTGCCCAAATGCGAAGGGATCTTGATTGCCTGACTCTTCCACAAAATATCACACTGGTCCACTATATTGATGATGTTATACTGTTTGGATCCAGTGAGCAGGAGGTAGCAGAAAGTCTGGACTTGTTGGTTAAGCATATGTGCATGAGAGGATGGGAAATAAATCCAACCAAAATTCAAGCCTTCTACCTCAGTGAAGAACCCTGAAGGACACTGGGGATGAAAGTCTTCACAGTGGGCAGAACTTCGGGCAGTGCATATGCTCGTGCATTTTGCTTGGAAGGAGAAATGTCCGGAAGTGCAATTTTATACTGATTCATGGGCTGTAGCCAATGGTTTGGCTGGATGGTCAGGGACTTGGAAGGAGCATGGTTGGAAAATTGGTGAGAAAGACATTTGGTGAAGAAGTATGTGGATAGATCTCTCCAAATGGGCAAAGGATGTGAATATACTTGTGACCCGTGTAAATGCTCATCAAAAAGTGGCCTCAGCAGAAGATGAGTTCAACAATCAAGTAGATCGGATGACCCACTCTGTGGATTGTCAGCCTCTTTCTTCAGCTATCCCTGTCATTTCTCAATGGGCCCATGAACAAAGTGGCCATGGTGGCAGAGATGGAGGTTATGCATGGGCTCGACAGCATGGACTCCCACTCACGAAAGCTGCTGCTGAGTGCCAGATCTGCCAACAGCAGAGACCACACTGAGCCCCCGATATGGCACTGTTCCCCGTGGCGACCAGCCTGCAACCTGGTGGCAGGTTGACTACACTGGACCACTTCCATCTTTGAGGGGACAGTGTTTTGTCCTTACAAGAACAGACACTTATTTTGGTTATGGATTGGCCTTTCCTGCATGTAATGCTTCTGCCAAAACTACTATCCAGGGACTTACAGAATGCCTTATCCACCATAATGGTATTCCACACAGCATCACTTCTGACCAGGGGACTCACT